AGATAAGTATGTGTATATATGTGCATGTCATTATGTTAGTTTTAGTAGTCATCTGTTTTGGAGATTGGCTCCAACAGAAAATTTTGGATCCACATTCGAAGGCTCTGAGTAAGGAGAATATCCAGAACTGAACTTTAGACTCAGATTGGCATAAAGATAAATGGCTTTTTGAATCCAGGTTTTCGGTTCATTGACTCCATTTGGGTCTCCTTGGTTTGTTTAGTACAAAAATTTAGCGTGCCATATGAAACTTAAACGCATCTAAACTTATTCTGCTGGAATTAAATAGAAAGTTTCAGTGTTTGTTTACTGTCGTGTATTGCTTTGTATCTAATGCTTGCAACAGAAAATCTTGGTTCACGTGTTTTGAAGCACTTTTTTAAAGGCAAAAGGCTTTCCAATGTATTGTTGGTACCCAGTAGTGTTAAAAAAAGTGTTAATTAATTTTTAAAGGCTGAATCCTTAATATCATATACCTGTCTTTCCGTATGACAGGGGCTAAACTCTAGCCAAAACCAAACGCATCCAAAATTATTAGATACTCTGTTAAGCCTTAAAGAGGTTTAATGAAATATGACCAGGACCCACTTTCATTTCACACATCTTTACCAAGAAATGCTATCTAGTCATCAATGTTAGGTGCCGAAACAGAAGTCCCGTTTAAGCTCAAAAGCAGAACACAAGTTCTAAAGAAATTAAAAAATAATCCATTTTCAAGCTCACATCACAATTTTTTGTGGCAGGCATATGACTTTTTAAGCCCTTTTTTTGGTAACATTAACTTTTGGAAGATTATTCAGTCCTGAGTGAGATGACCTGTCCTCCTTTGCTCAGCTCTATGAATGTTCTTTGGGTTGCATATGTATGGAGTTGGGGAAAAAAGACGAACCATTTTATTCTTCCTTTACTTACAGCAGAATTTACTTTAATTCATTGATTTCATGTAATCAATATAAGACTTCAGCTGTTATATACAAGAAACTGTTATTTTAAATAGTTAGGTAGATCTATGGAGAGAATATTTATGCTTTTAACTACACTTTTTTACTGTCTATTTTAGCAAGATGGTAAATAAGTAACAGGAAGAAAACTGGGAATAACATTTGAAGTCATTCATTCCTTTTGATCAAATTTTCCCTAAGAGCTGTGAAGGGAGACAAGACATTAATGACCACAGCGACAGCAGCATAATGACCTGAGAGGTCAGAACTGGAAGGTGCAATTAAGACACACTTGTGATAAAGCTCATCACTGTAGCTTGGTCATCCATTTTTCAAGCTCATTCAGCAGCAGCTACTATGAAATGAGGTAATGGACATCAGGAGTGGGATATTACGTCTCACAAGCAGAGATGTACAGGAAAAGTAGGCATGTACATCTCACAAGTAGAGATGACCTTCAAGAGTACTTGAAGGGAGCCTACAAGAAACCTGGAGAGGGACTTTTTACAAGGACAGGTAGTAACAGGACAAGGGGCAATAGTTTCAAACCAAAAGAGGGTAGATTTAGATTAGAATTTAGGAAGAAATTCTTTACTCAGAGACACTGGCACAGGTTGCCCAGGGAAGCTGTGGATGCCCCCTCCCTGGAAGCGTTTAAGGGCAACCTGGTCTGGTGCTCAGTGTCCCTGCCCATGGCAGGGGGGTTGGACTGGATGAGCTTTAAGGTCCCTTCCAACCCAAACCATTCTGTGATTTTATGATTCTATGAGAATCCAAAACTGATTCTGTAGTTCCTGGAGAAAACTGGGCACATCCAGGGTGCACTTCATCGCATCCTATAAAGGATATTGAATCTGGTCAGGAAAGTCATCCTGGGTCATGTCTGTTCTCTCCAAGTACATAATGTGAGTAGTTCAGATACAAACATGATATTCTAAGCCGTAAATACCTAAAATTAGGTGAGATGAATGCCACCCCCGGTCTCTGACTGCCTAGTTGATCTTGATACAAGTGTAAATAACCTGGCAACCAACTAATGCATGTTTCATTTCCTCAAGTACATTCTCCGACCCTAGATGAAGAGACCTTTGAGAGATGGCTTTGGCTTACAAGCTTAGTTGGTATTTCAAGTAAAGAGATATTAAATGAGGGGTATTTTTTGGTAGAGTCTGCTGCTGACCAAACACATTGCAGGATTGAGAGAAAAGGGCAAAGTCTGCAGCCTTCATGGGATAACCTCAACAGAAAGGCAAATGGGATTTGCTGGTTAAGAGCATCTTCTGGCTAGGGAATCAGCTGAGAATTTAGGGAAGAGTTATGCTGAGGGTAACATCCACTCCAGCAGTGGACAAGGAGAATTAAACAATAAATAAAGATACAGTCAGGTTCTCCTCTTTGTATTGCAGGAGGAGAAAAAAGGGAGAAAATCAAGAGTTACAGCTTTGTCAGGAACACCTCATAATACTAATTATGAAAAGACTGAGTGCTTATCAGCTGTGACACAGTAAACATTGCTAACCTCCTTTATTATCTCAGCACTCTCCTACTGACTTCTGTCTTCTTGAGAGCACAGCAAACACATTACTTGGCTGTTGCTGATTAGGCCCCTGCCAGGCCAAGGCTTCTGTATGTGCTGATGTGACACCTCCATGGAGTAATACAGTAATACATCCAGGAAGTAAAACATATGTATGACCATTTAAAGAGGCCATGGCCTGCAGATGTAAAATAATGAGGGTCTGAAACCTTCCATATGTGTTTTCTGTGGTCCAGACTCAAAAGATCTTTGGATTGTATCATACCACAAGAAAGAGCAAATAATAAATATAACTGTGAAAATACGTTGGAATATAACATTTGAATACAATGCTGCACTTAAAACCGTAAGTATCACTTAAAGTCTATTATATTGCCAGCAAGTGAGATGTTACGGCTTTTGCAATGAAAAAAACTCAAGTGGTTACAAAATGCTGGGTTTGCAGCAGGCAGTGGTTTTTTTCATAATGCACTGGTATTTCCAGACAGCGAACGCTCTGTCAGGTGGTAGTAAGTTGCTCAAGGCATAATGTCTAATAATGGGATGGGAATCCTGATCTGACTGTCCCTCATAGTAAGGTACAGATTACATAGTAATCTATACACAGTTTACAATGGGATAGTTTGCAGATCCTCTGCTAGAAACAGAAGGCATGCACATGTCTCTCTGTTTACTCTGGGGGGCAGTTATTTACAATACCAAGAATTAAAAGTTTAACAACAAACACAAAAAAGATGGAGTGTTGACAGTGAACTTTCCCGTATACTTCAGTGACGCACTAGAGCAGCCTTAGTTTTACTGGCAATGGCTGAATCCTCCTAGCAGCCATATTTGGAGTTGCTGCTGACAGAACTCACGTTAGGTAACAGATTAGTTGGTAGACTGCTAACTTAGTTAACAGCAGATGTGTGTATTTGTTTCAGAGAAGGTGGTAAAGTTTAGAAGCATAAATTTTCTGGGAGAGTTTACTGAGATTCTTCCCTCAGCTTTTCCAGAGGAATCACTTACAAGGAGAAGAGCGATGCCCATACCCATACATACTCTTCATGACCTGGGATTATCAAGTTTCACTTCTCAGGGAACCCAGAGTGGCAGTAGCTAACACCCTGAAAACCCTTAAGAGAAAAAAGTGCAGCACAAGTGAAAACGATTTAAACATCTGTGCCCAGTTTACAGACCAAGCTAAATTCTGCTGCAGGTCACAGCCTTGCACTGGACTATGGTGCAAGGCCCCGGTGGGAGCTGCCAATGATAAGGGATCATTTACCCCTACAGCCTGAGATGGGATCAAGTAGCAAAATCCAGCTACCACTGCAATGAAGTAACATGGAAGAGGCATTCTCATCATTTAATGCTTGATACAAATTGGGGAAAAACCATGCATTACCACCAAGTAAATCAAAACAGAAGTTTTAAAGAGTGAACTCTTTAGAAAAGGCCTCTTTGCTTAGAAAACACAGGAAAAAAGACTGATGCCATGGCAGAGGTTAGATTCTGCAGCTTAGTGATAAAGCAAATAAATCTTTAAGAGAGAAAAGGTATCTTAATATGTTCAGAAAGAAAATTCTTTTGGAGGAAACTGGCAATTGTTTTCTGAGAAAAATCTCAAAGTTGCTTTGAAAAAATAATAGCTACTACATGCAATGGTAATGTCAAAAGAAAAGCAGAACAACATCGAAGACAGATTAAGCACATTTACTTTCCTTTCACATAAATGCACATACACACCCCCATACACACTCTCCATTAACAACTAGCATTTACTGAAAGTGACTTCAATAAATCTGTAAAATTTCCTCCTTCCTAAAAGTCCCATATTTCATATGCAGATCCAATTCTAGCAATGAATATTAAGGAACCCGAGAGGGTTGCACCAAGCGCCCCTGCAGAAATAGCTGCAGCCGTGTAAGGTATTACTACTGCTCAGCTGTTGGGTGCCGCTTCTCGCCACACCCAGGTATCCATCAGGCATATACAGGTCATCTGAGAATTCCTCCTATGCTCCATTGCAGCCTCGTCTGTTTCTGCAGCAGCTGCCTGACTCTGATCTTGGTGAACAGGATCTGAACCCTCTCATTCAGCTCCAGGTGGCAGAAAACACCCAGGCTTTTGCATCGCCCCATTCTGTCTCTCTACTTCAGGACTTTTTTTTTTTCTTCCCAAGGACATAAAGTTACTCAGAGGCTCCTCTCAGTGAGCAGAAATTCAGGCAGTTTTCTATATTTCTTGCTCACAACCCTGATTCAGCTGTAAATAGATTCACAGCTGCAAGATCATGCATACCATTTTTTAAGCTGCACTAGAGCTAGAGGGATGTAGACTGACATGAGCTGATGTTAAAAATCCTGAAGTACTGCACTGTTGTTCAGATATTTCTCTACGGCAGAAGATACAATCAGTTCTGTGGGAAATTTTGGAATAGAGATGTTAACCCTAGAGAGTCCAACAAAATGAACTCTCCAGGTGTCTAATATCAGAAACATTTTCCAGTTGCAAATAGCATTGCAGAAACACAGGCTTACCTGCTAAAGGGAGAAGAAAACAGGACTGAATAGCAAATAGGGAAGACTGCAGCAGCTTTCCAAGAGTCACATGAAAATTCTTGACAGGCGATATGACTTGGTTGAAAAAAAGTCAGTCCCTTGCAAAAAAAAATGCAGCTCTGAAACAAAAGACGAACAAAAAGTAGTATTGTACATATTGCTATTCTAGGAAGAGTGTGCTAATAAGCTCATACCTGACATACACACAAGTGAAACAAATGCTGTTCCACCTCATTACTGACAGAAATAAACATTTCTTCTTGCACTTTTCCATTTTCTGTTTTGTTTTCTTTGGAGGGGAGCAACTCATTGACAACAAGAGGTACACCTATCACTAAAGGGGGTGAGTCTCCATGAGCATGCAGAGTGCCAGTAGCCATGTGTTTCAGCACTACAGATGTGACAGGAAAAAGTCTGAACTACGATGCATCATCTGTCGTGATCACTTTGGAGAGCAGCTGTCCTCTAAGGCCCGCAGAAGTCTTAAATACATCATTTGGAAACACTGACAATTCTTTCTTTAAGGCTTCAAATGATGGTCCTAATAGCACCACCTGTCCTGAGCTGGTCTTGAGGTGCCTCTCTGAGATTACTATTAACACAGTAAACAACCCCCGAGTGGGTAGCTTGGTTTATGCAACTTACAATGCGAATATCTTCATAATTTAAATATCTTTTTTTAAATAAATATAAAACACTATTAGGAAAAAAAAATACAGACACACAGCAGTATTCACACACATCCACATCCTGCGTATGGTTCTTCATGCCTTGCACTTTGCATACTCATTAGTACCAGCTCTAACACACTGCTGAATTTAACTAGGAATATACAGATGTCCTTTTCTGTACAGTTTATCCTGGGTACAAACTGCTCTTGCTTATGTTTGATGACATTTCATACCCACTTTGCTAGGATGTAAATAACCACATGTGTTTAAAAATATACATTTTAAGGTTAATCTTTCCTGCGTTGGAGAGAACTAAGTCATCCCCTTATACTCCCACCTTTTGTCTGTTCTACGGGTGTGAGCTTCATTCTGTTACTGCTTATTTTAGTCAAAATCAGAGGTGTTAGTTTAAATAACACTGTTGTGCGAAGTCACTGCATTTTGACTGCAACGCGTTAAGGAGCGCACACACAAGCAGCTCAGCAGACAGCCTGCAGAATGGGAGAAATTACCTGCAGCTTGTAGGCTACAGAGCCAGGAACTGGTATTTC